ATTAAGATAGGAAACTATTTTGTTGTAGTATGCATTTAACGCAGTGTTTGTTGAAAAGTTTACTCGGAAGCCATGTTGAGAAGTACTTAATATGTCGAAGGTATTGAGATATTTATTTAATCTATCTAATATGCAATATTCCAAAATTTTTGAGAAAACAGACGTCAAAGCAATAGGTCTGTAATTGTGTATATCTCTTTTTGTGCTCCTTTTTTATAGACGGGTATTACTTTCGAGGTTTTTAGTAAGTCAGGGAATACCCCTAGTTCAACGGATTTATTGATCAAGAAAGTGAGCGGTGCGACAATCGACGCTGCAACACTTTTAAAGACAGATAGTGGTACATCATCAGGACCACAGCTAGTTTTATTTTTTAACTTTTTATTAATAATGATAAGCAACTCCTCCTCAGTTATTGGTATAAACGCCATACTGGAGCATATATTTCTAATTGTTGGGTTAAAATTTTTAGGTTTATGAATATTATTTACGGAAGCTGTGACTGAATCAATAAAAAAATCATTAAAACTATTTGCTATCTGAGATGGGTTCTTCAAAAGCTCGTTATTGCTAAAAATTTCAATAGGTTTATATTTAGTTTTAGTTGTTTTTGTTATTTGCCCAATAACTTTCCAAACCATTTTTGATGAATCCATACTATTATTAATTAGGTTATTGTAATATGTTTTTTTAGTGACATTAATGAGATAATGGTGCTTGCGTTTTTCCGTGTTGTATAAAGGCTTCAATTCGGGATTTTGTCTACACAATTCAAAAAGTAATTTTAATCTATCACTCGACATACGAACTTCTTTTGTGATCCATGACTTATTAAGACAATCAGCTCTCCAAACTTTCTTAATTGGGAACAATGTGTTGAAATGATGCATAAACACATTAAGAAAAAATTCAAACTGTTTGTTAATATCTGTTAATTTATACATAAATTCCCATGATTCAGATTCTAACGTTTTAGCAAAAGTGACAATTGAAGTATTAGGAAAACGCCTAACATAAGAAAAACAGTTTACAGGGTTTTTATGTAAATCAGCAGTAACACGAAGAACTGTAGTTTCGTGGTCGGAAACTGTGTTTAACTTGACCCAAACATCATTAACAATACTTGGATGCGCATAAATATGATCAATAAGAGTTTTGCTGTGACTAGTTACTCTAGTCGGCTTATCAGTCATTTGTACTAAGTTAAAGCATGACATAGTTGATAAAAGATCTTTTTTTTCTTTACTATTGATCAGTAGATCAATATTGAAGTCACCTACTATAACAAATTTGCTCTTCAAAGACCAATACTGGTTTAGGACGGATTCTAGTTTGTTTAAATAATCACTAAAACCCGGACCAGGACTTCTATAACAAGTTAAAATAATGTAATTGCAAAGTTTAACACCACAAATTTCAAATAACTTTTCACAACAGATCGATGATAGGTCGATGCATTGAGAGTCAGAGAACACACGATCGCTCACCCAGACGACCTCTAGTCGTACTTGATCTACAGAAAGAGCTTACTAACCGGTAGCCTTGAAGATCGTAGCTGGCAGCAGATTCAATAGTACACCATGTTTCAGAGCAACAAAGGACGTCAACTTTATCTTCTAACAATTCTTCAAGAATCACGTCAAATTTCGCTTGAGATACACCTTGTATATTTAATGCCCATATGCAGAGCCACTTATTCGAATTGTTTCCTGTTACTGGGTCGTCGAAAAAAATTGAATCGTCGAACAGCAACACCTGCCGGCCAGAATTTATCAGAATATAACACATCTTGAAGATCATAATCTGCACCAATCTTGAAAGAACCATTATGTTCAGCGTCTCCAGTAATTTGTTCTACAACAAACTGATGACCACGACATTTACGTTGCAAGTAGTCGTTGATCTTGTCTACCTTTATGCCTGGTGCAACTCTGCTAACATGCAGCCACAACCGACGTTTCGCAGCTTTAAATTCGGATTTCTCGATTACATCATCCACGCCTTGCCCTAGGAAAAATTTCTTGTCTGTCGAAGTGTGGTGTTTCTGACCAGAATTTGTATTTATTGTTTTGTTATTTCGTTTCTTGCGGGTAGTAGGCAGCTTATCGGCAGTTTTTTCTCGGATTTCTTTAGTGACTTCGTTCTCAATATTGGAGATAACGGTGGTATCACTGCTGGTACTATCGATGGAATTATTTAACGTTTCTGTTGCATGAGCAGAACCACAATCACACTTTTTTTCAACCAATAGACGGATCAAGTCTATGTTTGACTCTCTAAGAACGACTACTTCTCTTTTCAAAGCCTGCATTTCTTCAACTAGCAGCCGTGTTTTTTTGTCGATTATGTTGGCGATAAATACACTAAATTCTTCAGTATTTAGCTCTGATAACGATCGCACTTCACTTCCGTTATTAGTTTGTGATCTAGTAGCTTTACCCATGGCAGAATGGAGTTTCACAATAAATTCAAATTGTACCACTTGTGGGAGCACTGAAAGTACGTGTGTTCACGGTGACAGTCAAACAACGAACGGTATATCGGTTAGATAGTAAAACGCTTACCAAAATTTGTCTAATCATCCCCACTACTAATGTGATGACGTCACTTCAAAATTGTACATAGTAAGTGGGTTTTAAATTGTACCAAATAACATAATCTTACACATGTAATTTATGACCCCGAATTGAGATTTTACTGGAAACGTCCAGATTTTTGGAAAAAAAAAATCAAAATTAGGAAACAAACATTTTGACATCTAATTTGGAATCTGCAAAACCGAATGCTTTGAAATCTTGCAGATGGTTTACAGTTATGATAAGCATGATAAGTTTTTATTTAAAATATTTTTACTTGTCCCCTCCAAAAAATTGATGACTTCACCTGAAAACTTTGCTGAATAAATCTAAAATGTAGAAAATATGATGAGTCTGTACCTGTAATTTATCATTTCATTAATATTTTTTGGATTTGCATATACAGGGTGATTCAAAAAAATTAATAAATGCGTGAATATATTTTATTTATTTAATCAGGAACTACAAAACCGAATGCTTTGAAATCTTGGAGATGTTTTAAAGTTATCACAGGCATGGTAAATTTTTGATCAAAATATATTTGCTCATCCCCCGTAACAAATGTGCATTTTGCAAATTATGGGTCTATAATTGTGATTTATTACTGCATAAATATTTTTTAGATTTGCTTATACAGGGTGTGTGAAAAAAATTAATGACTGAGTAAATTTATTTTATTGATTAAATCAAAAATTGCAAAACTGAATACTTTGAAATCTTGACGTTTTGAAGTTATTGTAAGCATGGTAACTGTTTAATGAAAATGTATGTGTTTATAAACCCTAAAAAATTGATTACGGCATCTCAAAATTTTGCCGAAAAAATTCTTTCGCAAATGTGCAAAATATGAACAGACTCTTAATCATTGCATTCATATTTTTTAGATTAACTTAAACTGGTGACTCAAAAAAATTAATGAATCAGTCAATTATTATTGATCAAATTAAAAACGAGTCACCTCATTTTCAGGAAAATGTGAGAATATGCTAAACAATAAAATAATGATAAGGTAAGAATTATAATAATAACATTCAGAATATTTTGTTTAATGGAGGCTTATGAACAATTTTAGTCGTCTATTTTGGGGCGATAAACTCATTCAAATCAAAGAAATGTCTACGTGACATTCTTCCGATCTAATGTATTCCCGTTGATACTGTGCTCTAAATAAATTGTTTGCACTCATAAACTTTGTTGATGACCTTGGCGCATTGAACGGTAGTTGAACTCGTGTACTTAGTCCCACTCAAAAAACCCTCTTAGGAGTAGGTCGCTCAGAAACTGTGAAAAGTCTCTGTACTGTGGCCAAATCCAACTGAATGAAATTCTCTTAGCCCTTCTTTGTCTGATTCTAACTTCATATCTCACTGAAGAATCTAAAACAAGATATTTAATTAGAAAATTAGCCTTGAGATTCCATAACTCTTTTAGAGATTGATCAAGACATCCAGTCAAGCGGTAAAATCCCCTGGGAAAAGGATTGCATCATCAACAAACTCAGAAGTTTGGAAAAGGAGTCAGCATAGTTTAGAGAACCGAGGCCTCAGTTTTCTCTGAACCAGGAGAACTGGTACATTTTCACTTTTTCAACTTAGCGCAAACAGCCATTTCAACACTGCTCTGTTAAGATAAAGATCGTGATTAGGGTCAGTTAAGTTGGGAATCAAGTTGTTAGGAGGAACCGTAAATACACTGGAGAAAGTTTGTGCAAAAATATCAGCCACATCATTTAGCACAATCATTGACTCCATTTTCAGTTTTCAACCACAGGGTGGTGACAGGGCCAGATAATAATAGAAGTAATTGGTTGTGAATATGTTTGTAAAAACGTTTCGCGTCTTGCTGATCTGCAATATTCTTCTACATAAGCAATACGTGCACTTTTTACGTTGTTTGAGATTCGATTGAAGATACTTCTTACACTGATAACAACGAAGTGTTTTAAAAGCGTGCCTCCAACTTCGATTTTAATAATAGCCAGTTTTGTTCATTTGACTAATGAGAAAGTAAATCCGGCCAATACAGTTTTTGAGATCCTCATTAACAAATTTGCAGTCTATAATAGTTTTAAAAAATGAAGCCGCTTTCTCTCTGGAGAAGCTGCAAATTTGTATATCATCCGTAAGAATTAAATGATCAGAGCCATCAATTTGATCAAGATACTCTCTAGATTTGGTAATCAATCGTTGTCAGATGTAATGATCATCGGGTGAAGTTTCGAGTGTGATAGATTTATTACTCTCTAAATGCTTTGGATTTTTTTTATATTGGTAATTTTTTTATGTCAAGAGTACCTATTGCTCATTTCAACAATAAAATTTGTGTTTCATTAGAGGTACACATCCTTGGTTTGGCAAAAATTTTTATTCAAACAATAACCGCATACATTTTAATGCACATCTTTTTAAATACAAAAAGTTGAGCAAAGATTAACAGCTATTTATTAGAATATTTATATACTAAATGAACAGACATAAAAATTCATCACGATTATACTCAAATTCATTACATTTTATTTTTCTCTTAATAAAAATACTGATAATGTAATTAATTGTCTTTTTGATTTTTCTTGTTTTCCTTTTGGAAGACATCTCCTTTGTGCGAATTGATTGAGTTCTTTATGTCAAGCAACATTTTCTCCAATCCTTCTAGTCTACTCATTACTTGTGTGTCATTCGAACTATCCATTTGTTTAGAGCAAAACTCTCTAATTTTCTCCAAACATTTCGAACCCACATTGTCAGGAAAACCTTCACCGCTTTCGAACTGTTTCTCTCTATTTATGTAAAAGCCAACATCGTATTTTTTCTTTGTATCAAAAAATAGTAATGGATTCGGTAAACGAGAAATCCGTAGAAACTCTCGACCCCAGAGCCGTTTTTCAACAAACCCCATGAAACTGATTACGTTTTTGAAAGCATTAATCTCGGCGTTCTTCTCAATACTGCTTACGTCGGTGACGGCAACGCCAGTCCAGAAATTGACCATCACTAAAGCCACAAAGATAGCGAAAACGAAAAATACGACGTAATGACCCGTAGTCGAAAAAGCGAAGTTTTCGTTCATGTTGAACTCGCCGGTTGTCATAACGTAAGTCACGAAAAGCGACTTCCAGATGTTTTTGAAGAAGCCTTCGTCCTTGAACAATAGTTGGAAGGCAACAGCAAAGGCTAACAATATTAGAGAAAAAAATACCATCAAGTAAGTGAAAGATTTAAAAACCTTTTTCATCATGGCGGACCATTTTGCGATTCGTGGGTGGTAGCCAACGGTTAATAAACACAAGACGGACATTTCCACGAAAGCGAAGGCTCGACACTCGACCGAAAAGAACGCTCCGAAAAGCGTCAATGCAACCAGAATTTCTAAGGTTTCGTAGAGAGTGGGAGGTTGACGTTTTCCACAAAAGTAAGGAGCTGTAATAAATGGAATTTTTGTGACGGAGTTAAGAAGAATGAAGAAAACACACAACCAAAAATTGGTGGAGGGAACTTCACACAACAAGTAAAAACAAGAACTCAAGGCGGTGAATAAGAAAAATTGTAGAACTAACACCAACCAGTAGTAGAAAGCGACTTTGGACCATTTCAGCTCAAGGAATGTGTTAACCAGCGGATGAGACAACAGCTCGCACAAGTTTCTATTTTTTGCAATTTTAGAAATAATTTTCATTTCGTCAATTTGGCCACTTGAGTCTGAAACCAAGGACTTGAAACGGAGATGCATTTTGTAGTCGTCTGAACCGAAGTCGTTGTATGTATCTAAGACTAAGCAAGCGTCAAAATGTGCCTTAAGATCGTCAACTCTCATCACGTCTAGAACAACCTTACCCGCGTCATTTGTTACGTCTAACATATTTTTCGGATGTTTGAGTATTTTTTGGATCGCTTTCCTATGGGAGAAACGTACGGCGTAATGTAATGGTGTGTTTCCGGAGAATTTGCAAGTTAAACTGGGTTCCAGATTGTTCGATTCTAAAAACATTTCAAAAAGCTTTCGCTTCACGCCTACAGTACGCCACTGAACAAAGTGATTAAACATTTCTTGTGTTATTTCTAGATTTTTATTCTTTAGGATTTCTTGGAAGCTTTGTTCATGTTTTTTTCGGGCTGCTATTTCTGCGGGTTTAAAAGGATACAGTTCAGTGACTTTGTTTGGGTCTGCATTATGGTCTAAAAGAAACTTTACAACCACATGCATTTTTTCGGACCTTTTACAAGCGAACTGTAACAGCGTATATTCCCCATTACTGCAGTTGGCAAAATTTCGAATGTTTCTAAACTTTACAAACTCTTTAATGTTCTCTTTACCTATCCAACAAAAAAGTTGATTAATTGTGTCGTCATCAATGTGTTTTTCTTCTGATTTAGTTGGCATCTTGATAATATTTTTCGTTTCTTCGTCCAAAATTTCCCACAGTACACCCTTTTCTTTTAATTTAACGATGAGCTGCTCAAGTTTTATTTTAATCTCTTCTTGACTATTTCTTTTGTATAGAAATGCGACATGCTCGACAGCGGTTTTCCCGCAGAAATCGGGCTTATTTATGTCAACACCCGCTTCTAGCAAAAGTTCAACGCATTCGAAAAAATTCGGTTCTGAAATCTTGGCATGTTTTAGAGTGAAAGTTAAAATTGTGTTAAAGAAGATAGGCGTATTCAGTAGCTCACTAGTGCATTTGCTGATGTTTTCTTTAACAACGTCTTTATTGCAAATCGCCGAGGCAAAAAAACATAAGTCGATTGCATCACCTCCATTTTGTTCACATTTTTTAAACATCACCTGTAATAATTCTGCTCGAATCGTGTTTTTGAGCTGCATTTTCGTTAGTGTCGCCTCTTCTTTTATTAACAAATTTAGGGTTTCGATGGATTCAAGTACGTCATTCGACTTTTGTAGCGTTTCTATTTTCTTACGATCTATATGCTTTTGGCCACAAATGGACATTATTTTGCGAAAAAGGTTGAAAAATAGCATCCTGTCATATTTTCCTACAAAGAAAATGATCTAGTTATAGTCGGATGTAAATTTGGCGTACCTTTTGGTTGGGGAGATTCCTCCCTTTCCATCAAAACGATTGTTTCTTCACTCATTCTAATTTTTTAGTAAAGTTATAGTTCTGCTACATCTACTTTGCAAACGGAATTCGGGTTTTTACCTTTAGATATGATTTATTTTTCTATGATAACATATCACCGCAGAAAGATAAAGTTATTGACTTTCGTAGAACTCACTGATTAAATAGATTAATATGCCTTAAAAAAAATTAAAAATAGTCGGAAGCATTTATTTACGTACCAAAACCAATTACACAAAGGAAAATGAAGGGGACAATTTTCATTTATTAGTTTATTTTTAAACAATAAATTGTGAATTACACCATCAAAAATTAACATAAAATCTAATATTTTATATAATAAGCTGAAGTCGAAGCAATAAAAAAGTCTAGGCGACCATCGATATTGTTTGCAGTTTCTCTGTCTGAGTCTCACATCTATAATTTCAACAAGTTTTACCGCTTGTTGTCTTAAATTAAGAATGCTTATACATTAATGATTTTCAGTCGCCTCCGCTAATACACGCAGCATACGTGAGTAAACTGTTGCGTTATTTTATTGATTATAAACCTATATTCAAGACGACCCAATTCATTTTCCCGAAAATTTGGGAATATAGTACTTTTATTTTTACTATTACACTACATCTATCCAAAGTGATATACGTGTCCTTGCAAAAATGTTGATAACGTCTTCGCATTTTTTTTTAAATGCTCCACTACTCTCTAAACTCTTTAGACCAATTTTTTCTGCATATAATTTTGAGCTTTAATTATTATCTTAGTTTTAGAAATGTAACATTTCTCTTTATATTTTCACCTAAAGAAATCCTGTTATAAATGATTATTTTTGTAAAAGTTATTCAAGTTGATAAAAGAGGTATGGTCTGTTTATGTAATATTTTATTAACAACTATAATTTACAACTATTATATGATGCTGAAAACTTTAATCAATACGTAGACAATGAATTGCAAAATTTCATAAAATTCTGTGCAGGATCGAAAACCTAAATTCTATGAAAACATTCAACTACGCAGACAGTATCGAAATAAACCTCACCACAAAATTAAGAAAAATGAAATGAAATGTTACAGTTTGATACTCAATTCGAACACATCCAGAGTTATCAATGTCATCATCACAGCCCGCTTCTAACGAATGTATGATGTCATTTTTACGCATCCATTTTCCAAGTTGTTGAACTGTCATCCAATCCATATTACTGCATTCAATGTATAAAACTTTTATTTTGCATTTACTTTCACAAAGGCGGCCTTCAATTTTTCTAACGGGGTTTTTTTTTAAATACATTTCTATTGTGTCCTCAAAAATCGCTGTTGGCAGAATTTCTATAAAGTTGTTAGATAAATCCAGTTTAAGACTGCTTGCGGTCATTTTGTTAAAAACTTTGTCACTGATAGTAGTTATGTTATTAAATCGAAACCATAAAGTAGTTAAATTTTTCGACTTTAAAAAAGCGAACTGATTTTCTCGGAGTGATGTTATATAGTTCATGGACATATCTAAAGTTGTAAGTTTTGGTGTAGACAAGAAAGCATTTGAATTCAGTGTATGCAACTGATTGTTTCTTATAATCAGAGTTTCCAATTTAGACAAATTCACAAAGGCATCATTTTCAATCGTGGTTATTAGATTTTCGTCTAGCATGATATATTGTACATTAATGTTTCTAAAAGTGCCTTCCTTTATGATTTTGAGTTTGTTTCCTACTAACGAAAACAGATAATCTACATTTTCTAGACGTTCAGACAAGCATTCCTCTTCGACCTCTTCAATTCCACAATAGTTAAGATTGAGAGTACCTACTCTATGTCCAATATTGAGAAACTGACAGACTAATTTTTCCAAAATCGTTTCAGAAACAGTCACTCGATTCGCGTCATCCGAAATCATAATGACAGGAAATTTTTCAAAAATGCTTGAAAAATTACCATCAACAACTTCATAATTAATCACAAAATTATCTACCGTGGCGGAAATACTTTCCAGAGAATCGCAGTAGCACGTATAAATAAACCAAAACATAAAGAAAGTTTTTAGAATAATCATTTTAAATATCACTTACTGTTCACCAATACAATTAAAGTCGACTGCCGTGGAAAAACGCATTAGAGTAGAATTTAGCGTTTTCTTATTCAAGTTTGTAAAGTGGTTGCTCTAACAACGACGCGAAGCCATCAATAAATAGGTGAAAGCTTAAGTTTTTTTTAACAAACTAGCAAATGCCTGTGAAATGTACTAAGAAAGTGTATGTGCGATAAAATTTTGCCATTCTTTTTAAAGCTTCTGTACCTATCTAATTAAAGCGTCGCCTCAAAATTATTATTTTTTTTACTAAAAATTTTAATAACATAGCCTTGGTTGGACTTGCACCTAAGTTTAATATTTTTAATTTAAAAGTATGGCCATATTCGGAGTTTTGTATACCTATACAACGTATTTACAATAGTTTTTCTAACTTTTTGACTAAGTTGCGCAGGTTGAAGACCTTCTTAGTGCTCAGCTACAAGAAAAAACTTTCCAAACTTTGAATGAAATCAAATTTAATGTTCTGAATCAATGCAAAGATTTAAATGACACACATTTCATACAAACAAAGAAAAATCTGAATTAAAGTAACTGGATGCAAATACACAAGTTATTACGGACGTGTGGCGGCAAATTGAAGATTATGGCAATCAATAAGAGAAGAAAATTTTAACAAAAAAGTGTAGGCAGCGGCAGTGGCACCAGAGCGCTCTAAAAGTGTGGCGATCGAACTATCTCAATTTCCTTCTAGAGCACAGAAGAATTACCCATAGGGGGCGTTGCAGTACGAGCGGAATTTGGGGCTCCTGGTCGTGGCTGTTCTCCTACCCACGACGGTGATTCTATCTATCGCAAGCACTGCCGCACAGCACCCCTCCATTACGAACATGCCGACAAGGAACTGCGCACTCCGCTTCCGCCACGTATTATTGCATTATTTACCTTAATTCCATTTTAAATGTTCAATTTCTATAACTCTGTTTCAAAAAGAAAACAATAAACAACATTTAGATTCGCCATACACTATCGTGAAATTTGAAACAGCAAAGAGTTTTGATCTGAGATTAAGATTGGACATCAGACAATTTATGTGATGGAAGCATTAATCAACAGAATATTTACAAGAGAAAAACTAGCAAAGATTTATAAAAACAAAAAAGTGTCAAAGGAATAAAATGCACGTCCCACATGATTCACAATGTTGTTAATTTGTTCAACGAAATTTTACAGTTCAAACATGTGCTCGGTTTGAAAATACTCTTTCAACATGGCCGCTGCCAGGACAAAGAATTTACGTTATGTTAAATTATGCCACACTTTATCAACGATTCAAACAAAGAATTTACATTATGTTAAATTATGCCACTCTTTATCGGCGATTCAAACAAAGAATTTACATTACGTTAAATTATGCCATACTTTATCAACGATTCCAACAGAGTTTATATTACGTTAAATGATGCCTTGATCCAGGTGTCTGGTTACTTGAAACTATTAACTTTAAGAGTTTATATCGTGCACTGTCCCCAGATTATCCCAAAACAAAACACATGATAAATAAACAACACAAAAGCTTCTCGATAATGTGATGACGATATGATGATAATAGCTGCCTAAGGGAAAATTTTAATCCCCGCACTTTGAATGGTCTTTTTCCTAAAGTGGGACGACGTGAGGTTAATGGAACGGCCGTAAATGAACTATTAGCAATCTTGTGTGAGGAACTAAGAAGTGTTATAATGTGACACTTAATAATAATAATATAATAATATAATGTCTTTGTTATCCAATAGGGTGGCCCTAATGATAGGACAATCTAATATATAACAAAAAATTAAAATAAACATTCAAGCATAAATTAACTAATAAAAGAAAATTCAAATTAACAAAATATATCTTCTATATGTTTGTCAGCACAACGACACATAGTGAAAACAGGTGCACGACGTAAGATATTGGTTCTAGCGGTAGGAAGTCGAAAAGTATTTACATATCTTGATGTAACCCTCGGAACATTAAACTGGACGGCAGATAACAAAAAAGGACAGTCAATTTTGTTGAGTATGAGTTTAGCCAAAAAACTAGCAGCATGTTGATCTCTACGCACTGAGAGAGAAGATATGTTATGCCGTTGTAAAAGACCATTCGTATCTGTTCCTCTATTTGGATACGTCCCATCTAGTTTGAATGATAAAAATTTCAAAAATTTTTTTTGTACTTTATCCAGAAGCATATGTCGACACATGTGTATTGGATACCAAATTAATGATGCATATTCCAGCTTGCTACGTACATAAACAAAGAAGAGAGTCTTAATTAAATCAATATTACTAAATAGTTTCGAAATCCGCATCACAAATCCCAAAGATTTATTCGCTGCGCTACAAACATTGGTGATATGTTGATCAAAAGTCAATTGGCTGTCAAATGTAACACCAAGATCCTTGAAAATTGTTTTACGTTCCAAAGGTGTTCCTCCAATCTGATATATAAAATCAAAAAACTGCTGTGTGCGGAAATAAGATATAAAGCAACATTTGCTAATATTAATTGTAAGTTTGTTAAAATTACACCATTCGACAATTTTGATGAGTTGAGCTTGTAGATGAAGAGCATCAGATAACTTTGAAATTTTAGAATAAATTTTTAAATCGTCCGCATAAGCTAAAAAACAACATTCTAAGGATTCGAGAAGATCATTAATATATAAATTAAAAAGGAGGGGGCCAAGATTTGACCCTTGAGGGACACCTGAGGTGGAACAAAAGGGCAAAGAAATAAATCCATTATAAAATACATAATTCGTGCGATTAGTCAAGTATGATTCCATCAATTTAAGAAGGGAAGAAGAAAATCCAAGATTATTAAGTTTGTGAAGAAGGATGTCATGAGAAATAAGATCAAAAGCGTGAGAAAAATCTGTATAAATAACATCAACTTGTTCACGTTTATCGAGGGCCTCACTAAGATATTGAGTTAAGACAGAGAGATTGGAGACTACAGATCTTCCAGTCCTAAAACCGTGTTGCCCAGAACTAATAA